AATATATATATATATATATATATATATATATACTTATTTAATTTTATACAAATTTAAGTTTTAATTCGTACGCGTTCAAAATCGAATCATAATTTTTGATGATGCATGTGTTAGTGAGAAGAAGGTTAGGGATGTTGTTTTTGGGGATTTGTAAGAAAAGAGGATTCTGTCTGTGTCTGTGATATTTGGATACTGAACAACGCCATCTCTACTTTTCTCGTACTCCACATTCACAATGAAACTTACTACTACATATTTTATTATTATTATATAGATCGACTAGTCTGTGGTTTCGACGCTATCTTTTGTTGCTTCCGACCATGAAACACGCTCAACACCTTTTAATGCCTTTTATCATATCTAGCGACGAAGTCAGCCTTATATAATTTAATTAACCCCCTCTTCTTTTCGAGTCGTCTCAATGTGAAAGTATCTCGTTCATTAAAGACATAAGTTGATGATATCTACAACTCGATTCAATTTTAAATTTTTTAAAACTTGTAAAGTCTTATAATTATATTTTACAAACTAATGAAGTCAATTTTGAGTCAATCAATATGATGAAATAAAATAAAATCTCAATCAACTTATGTCATTTGTAAAGAAATGCAATATAAGAATTTACAAAATATATTCTTCTTCTTAAAAATATATCAAATAATTATTTTTTTTTAAAAACCTAGTAAGATAATATAGTTTTAAAAAGTATGAAACTTTTTTCCCTTTCTCAAATTAATGAAGAATCTACGGGAGTTCTTTCTACACATTTCCTCAATTTCAATTTAATTTTCTTATTATTTTTTATTTTTAATTTTTTATCAATGTAGTTATCATGATCCATTGAAATTTAACCCTTTATCATTTTGATTCGTTAGAAAAACTATTTCGACTCATTTAACATGACTTTGGTTTATCTAAGAGATTAAAACTAAAATATTTAAAAATGACTTTACTTTTTAAAAATTTATATCAAATTAACATCAGATAAATAAATTAAAACGATACGAATGAGAGGAGAAATGTGAATGATTCAATGTGATGGGTTAAGTGGGTAGGGGGAAGGGGAGCAAGGCGTGATGTTAGGGTCAAATCAAAGATAGCATTGGAGGGCCCTCTTTTTTAGTCCTACATGTAATCATACTTATAGTTTGTTCCTCACAAATGGAATTTTTATTGCAAGTTAGACATGGCGCATTATATATTTTAAATTAATTAATTATTCATAAATTTCTATCATATTATTTATATTCTAATTTCACCAAATATATATTACCCGGTCCACTACTAACCATGATTTAGCTTCTCCTTTTTCTTTTTTCGAAGAAGACGATGATTTAATGTATACTGTTAATTACCTAATAATATTATGACCTTCCTAAAAACAATAAAACCAAATAATTATTTCGTGCTTGATATAATTTTTTCTATTTTAAGTGAGTCATATTCGGTATGATTATACTTTAGGTAAAATATAGAAACAATGCCTTCTTCTATCCATGAATTCAGCTGCAACTATTAAAGAACATTGTTCTTTTTGCTAAAATTAAATTATTTTTTATTATATAAATATGTCACTTTTTCCCCCCTTGTTGATAAGTTTTAAGGGAAGTCCTTTTTCTAATTAGAACGGAAAACATCTTTATGAGGAATACCAATTTTATTAATTAAAATGGAAAGATATGACATATAATTGTTACACGTCAACATACCAAAGTAACAACTTTTATATATCCTTTAATTATACTTTAAAGTGGTGTGGCCAATCATATCATATGCTTTCATGCTTAAAGACTAATTGACCAATTATATAATACTTCCTTACAAAGGTTAAATTTAAATATTTAATTAGCGGTGAGAAACATAATGACACATCAACCTAAGATCTTAAATTTGAAAAAAATATATAACTTAAAATATTAATTAAAATTATGTAATTTAATTTTTGAAAGAAAAAAAAAGTACATTCAATAATGAGTCTGTTACCATCAAAGAATGTGATGTAGTGAATGAGATTTTTCCTTCATTAACAAGAGATGTTAAATTTGAAACCGTAACACTCTCGATAGAAAACAAATCTTTTTGAATGGGACCCCATACGACAAGAATCTAAAATAATCAGGCTTAACTATTATATCGAGCCAAAAAAAAAAAGAAAGAAGGCTGCGGGTGAGTTGCCGACTGTTGTTTCTTTAGTAGAAGCAAAAATATTTTGGCCACGTTTTCCAAATAAT